CCCCAGTCTACCGAACAAACATACCTCACTAAAATCCACACAAAAAGCATTCATATTCAGCCCATACAAAAACCCCGCAAAGCTCTCGCTGAACCGCGACAAACTCTCATGCATTGTCTGCAGCGCGACAAAGTTTGACTCTAGGTCCGCCATCGCGTCGCTCAACTCGGCGAACTGGTCTGACAGGTCTTCGAGTGGGTTAGAGGAGGACGTGTAGGGACCCCGGCCGCGGGTTGCGCTGTCGCGAAGGGAGCTGCGGGAGGAGGGGCGGAGAGGTGTTATTGGGCGTGAGCGTGTGAGGGGCGATTTAGAGCGCGTGCGATTCAGGGTGCGCGAGGGTGGGTCGGTTGGGGGGGTGGTGGTTCGCATGGTGGGTGTTGTGTTGGGGAATGGATGGGAGGGATGGGATGGATGTTGCGTTGTGGGTTGATTTGAGGTGTTGGCGCGCGTAATGAGGGCATTAACGCGTAATCAGGTGGGGTAGAAGATCATGTGCACAATTGAAGAGGCCGAAGCGGTTTGTTCGCGGTGAGATGGCTGCGCCTCGCATGTTTACCTTCACGATGTTTAGAGGGGGTCGCCAAGCGCAACCCACAACGATGACGAAGGTCCCGTGCCCATAACCTTCTTTTCCCCAGCTTTCGCACTTTCAAAAGCTCGATCGGGATATTTGCTTACAGGCCGTCGCATGCTCTGACAATTCTTACGTCGCCCTCCCACCTCAATCCCGTCATCCTTGCCTTCTGACACCATTTCACCCTTGAGTCCTGCACCGCCCCTCTTCGGTGCGTACTGCCGGCAGCTCAGCCCTGCGCAAACTGGTACCCGCGACGCGGCGGATCTGTGCCTTCCGTAAGCCGACTGTGTTGTCAGACTTCAGCTCCAGCTCCAGCTCCAGCTCCTTCTTTCCTTCTTACTATATGTGCTTTCGCGCCCATACACCCCGAAGAGCAGCATTACAGAACTTAGCATCTTCTTCTGCGACGTATCAACCAGTGCGATATATTACCAAGCGATTTCATCCCCGTTTCACCGTAAACATATCCTGCGCCTCCGCCAGAACCCGATTATATCATTGCGCGCATTACCGTCCGGCGAAACTACCTAAAAGAAGCGGATCGGGTCTCTTCACAGCGGTCGTCGTTTTTGGCATTGCAGTTGGCGGCGCAATTCTTTTTCCGCTTCTAAGAAATACTCCGAAGTACGATATTGAGAAAGCCGCTTCGTCGCCGCCCTTCAATCCCTCCGACTTTACAGACTCGTTCCTCGTCATGGCGCCGAATACGCCTCCCGGGCGGCCCGGAACCCTCACACCTGAACAAGAATCGAAGCTACGCGAAATGTGGACGGCGACGCTGAGGATGTTTGGGGAATATGAGCTGGCCGCGGCGGATGTCAATGGTACAGAATCGCCGGCAGTCTCTTCTGAAGCGTCATCGGAAAAGGACGTCAAGAAAGACAAGAAGAAGAGCAGGCTGAATGTCTTTAAGCGCAACAAGGGCGACAAGGAGGACAAGTCGGGGTCGACCCCCTCATCGGGCACTGTCACACCTTCGGATATCAGCTCCCTCTCAATAGCGGATGACGATGATAAGCACGGGCAGACGAAGCAGGCCAAGGCGGCGCTGGCAAATATGTCACCAGACGACCTGCGAACGGCATTTTGGAGCATGGTCAAGCTCGACCATCCAGATGCCTTGCTTTTGCGGTTTTTGCGCGCGCGCAAATGGGATGTGGAGAAGGCGTTGGTCATGATGATCTCGACTATGCATTGGCGGCTCGAGGAGATGCATGTCGACGATGACATTATCAAGAACGGCGAAGAATCAGCGTTGAGAGACAGCAAAAGTAGCGATCCTAAAGTGAAGAAGGAGGCCGAAGACTTCTTGACACAGCTGAGAATAGGGAAGAGCTATCTCCATGGGCTCGATGGCGAGGGCAGGCCGATGTGCATAGTCCGCGCCCGATTACACCATGGAGGCGAGCAGAGCGAATCCAGTCTAGAGCGCTTCACAGTCTTCACAATCGAAACAGCCAGGATGTTTCTGAGGCCGCCCGTCGACACCGCAGTAAGTAGCTCTCAACCCAGCAACACGCGACCTCGCAATCGTTGACCTCTCCCTCCCAGACCATCATTTTCGACATGACCGACTTCACCATGGCCAACATGGACTACGCCCCCGTCAAATTCATGACCAAGTGCTTCGAAGCAAACTATCCTGAATCCCTCGGCACCGTCCTTGTCTACAAAGCCCCCTGGGTGTTCAACGCCATCTGGAACATCATCCGCGGCTGGCTTGACCCCGTCGTCGCGGGCAAAGTGCACTTCGTCAAGAACGTAGACGAGCTGCAGAAATTTGTGCCTATGACGCAGATTCCCGCCGAGCTTGGCGGCGATGAGAAATTTGCATATGAGTACCCTGAACCCGTGGAGGGCGAGAACGCGAAGATGGCGGAGGAGGGGCCCAGGTTAGCGCTGCAAGATGAGAGGGCTGAGCTGGTCAAGCGGTACCTGAGCCGAATCCTCGAATGGGTGGTTGAAGGGGACAAGGGGAAGGGGCTGGAGGAGAGGAGGAGGGAAAGGGACGAAGTTGCGGAGCAGCTTAAACAGAACTACTGGAAGCTGGATCCGTATGTTAGGGCGAGGACGTTGTACGATCGTATTGGGTTGCTTGGGGAGGGTGGCGCGGTGACTTTCTATCCTAAGGCTAAGGTGGCGGAGAAGGAGAACTTGCCGCCGGCGCAGGAGACGAGTCCGGATGATTTGGATTAAGCAGGCGATGTGTATATGTGGATGGACGTATAATTGGGGTATGGTCGGTAGGCCATTGGGAGCTGAGGCCGAGCCAGTTCCCGGAGTGGCCTGTCGTAGCCTGCCGTATTTCTATCAGCATCAATTGATGCCCCACAAACAATCATAGAGACAGCACCGTCCGAAATCTCTAAAGAAATCCATAGTCAAATCCGTCCCCATGCTGTTCTCGCTAGAAATTACTCTTCTCGGAGTCTGCGCGGTGGGCGTGGCCTGCATGCCCTCATCCCTCCTCGGACTAAGAGCAGCAGACAGATAAGATCTGCGGAATATATATCGTGGAGGTCATGAGGACTACCGAGCTAATCGAACAAAGGCAAGATCATTCGCGATGACGCACTTCGGTAACCGACATTGTCAACTGAGCCGTGAGTCGATAGACGATCTGAAATTCTGACGTGTGGGTAGGTCGGTTGGTTGCTTGATATTGATTGAGGTGTGGGGAGTAGACTCGCAGGGAGATGGTGGTAACGGTCACTTGGAGTCGAGGGCAAGTCGAACCGTTGAACAAGCACGATTTCAACGCCTGCCATGCTTGGCGCTACATGCTCTTTGCCTCGTATACTGTACATACATATATTTACATCCACTAAGCTCTATACAGCGTGTTGCTCAATCCATCTGTTTCAACGTCCTCCCACTACGCTCCCGATTCCTCACTTGGTCGAGCTTTTCGTCCAGTCCATTGCCGTCGTCGAGCATGCCTTCCTCGAGCTTGTTCATGACTTCGGGCGATATAGCTTCTTCGACTTCTTCAGGCAGGCGGAGATCTCTGGCTGCACGGTAGGTGATATGGCCTTGTTGGGCGGCGGCGAGACGTTGCTTTTGGCCTGCTTGGCCGGCGCGGCCGAGGACGCCGGCGATGACTTGGATGCAGCGGATGCTGTGGTATGTCAGCAAAACTTTTCCTTGTCTTTGGAAGATAGACATACCTGTCGTCGTTGGCCGGAATAGGGTAGGTGACCCATGTCGGATCCGCATTCGTGTCGATGACACCAATGGTGGGGATGTTGTTCAGCGCGCACTCGTGCAGCAAGACATAGTTCTCCAGCGGGTTGAGACACACCACCAGATCCGGTCGAAGCACCGGCCGGTCATAGAGCTGCTCCTCGAAACCAGGAACCTCTTCGTCCTTTTCATTGACCACCTTTGTCCGACACTTGCCCAAGATCTGCTGCCCGTTCGTGATGCTCCCGGGGATCCAGCGCTCAAACAGGTGATACCCCTTCGCCATCTGTGAGGCCTTCACAACAGCCCTGTCTTGTCCATCGCGCGTCCCAACAAACAGCACGAGACCACCCCGTCTTGACACCTCCTGCACGACCTTGGCGGCACGTCGCAGATGGGCTGCGGTGACCTCGAGCGAGATGATGTGGACGCCTTGTCTTATACCTTGAATATAGCGTGCATTTGCGGGGTTCCAGAGCGAGGTGAGGTGCCCTTGGTGGGCTTCAGCGGCAAGGAGGAGCTCGAGAGTAACGTCGGCGGGCGAAGGGGGGTTGTTGAGGAGCGCGTGTGGCTGGTAGTGGGGGCTGATGTCTGAACCCAGGTGTCCGAAGTGCTTCTCTGCGGAGGGTCAGAAATGGAAGGATATAGACGGGGAGCAGTCCAGCCTACCTAGATGCTTGAACTTGTGGTACTGTTCTGCGACAGAGCCCGAGAGCGGCGCTGCCTGCGTGTCGGGGCTGGCAGTGGGCACAGAGAATGCGGTCTGGGAATTAAGCTGGCCCTCGAGTGCTTGGAGCTGGTTCACGCTGCTGTCGGCGGTCGCTTCAATGGAGGTGACCTCGGAGAAGAATCGTCTGAACTGCTTCAAGCGGTTCTGCACGAGCGCCCGGTAGCCTGTGCACGTTAGAAAAGATATCAGTGGGACATCCCGTACGTACTGCCTCGCGCCGCAACATGTCGTATTATCATAATGGGTGGTGCGGTTCTCGTGGTGCTCGCTGGCAGCGCGCCAAAAAGTCCCAGACCACAACTCGGACGATGCTTGGCACTGTCCGCTTCCGGAAAGGCCGCTCTCCGCCGTCCGCAGAACTAAGATGTCAAATCTATTTGAAAGAGTTAGCTTACTTTGTTAACAAAAAATAATGACCAGGAAACTTTGAAGCAGTCTCTAATAGAGTTCTTTCTTTTAATTCGAAGATGGAAAAAGAAGAGCGGCATCAAAACAAAACAAAAAAGAAAGTGACCACACCCTGATTCGAACAGAGAGCCTATCAGCGTTAACATGTGAAGCCCAGTCATATCTACCGGACCCATCATACCTTCAGGAATTCCCATCTAAACTGGAATCTGACGCGCTACCATTGCGCCATGCGGCCGCCATGATGGAGGTACAAATTACCCCTCAGTTTTGAATTATAAAATTTCTAGGTTTAGCTAATAAATATATAGTATATGGTAGATAGATTTAAATGAAATCAACCAAGATCTACCCTATCTGCGAGATGAGGGGAAATGGGGCGATATTCTCGGTTAACGCAGGGCACCGCTGGATTTCTTAGTATAGTGCAGTACTACTTTACAAATGGTATAGCATAGTATAGGAAAATCTACCTGGGATCATTCTAAAAAGCACGTGACTTCGGGTGCCGACAGCCCCAGAACATTGAACCCTGCCGCCGCCCTGCGTCGCGCGCTCCGGCAGCGACAACCCGCGCTTTGGCTCCATCGCATTTGGTGTGGAACCGCGAGGGCATCAGCAAATCCCATCCTACCGTCACCTTACGTACGGCGCACTGCCGCCCCACTCGCGCCACTGCTCCACGCCCTCCCGCCGCTCGCAGGCTCCGAGAAGCTGCTGCGAGCTTGCGCAGGCGAGCTTTTCTTTTTCGGTTTCGCGCGTCGCTGGAACGGCCTTGTCGTCGCTAACCCTAGTGCATTCTTCTTGACCTTCCGCCGTCGAGTGGCTGCGTCTTCTGCGTGCACCTTCCCTCGCTGCCAGTGCCTGCCTTCCGTCCACCTCGCCGTTAGCCGCATGTCGCCTTGAGACTGTTGCCACCCGCAACTAGCAAGATAGGACGGCGGCCAAGTCTCCGTCCGCTCCGTTGTGCAGAGTGCAGACTTCCACTCCCCCGCCGCCGTCTCTCACCGCATCCCGCATCCCGCCCAACGCCCGAGCCCAGCACGTCGTCGCCCTCGTCGCCCCCGGGCGCTGCGACCCTCATGCCATATCTATCGGCGATTCCACTGTCTGAGCCGTGCCGAGGATGAATGGCAGCTACGCGTACAAGGGGTACCCGCAGCGGCCCTTCGCCCAGAACAACGGCGAAAACATCATAGACCATTCCGGCGATGGCTTGAACACCTTCATGGGCGACGGCCAGTCGCTCGACGACATCGTGCTGCAAAATGAAAAAGAGAACCGCAGACAGAGCATGCCCGTGTTCGGGGGCACGGAGATGCAGATGGGGAGCCCCGACTCGCGACGGCTTTCGATGCTGCAGTTTGGGGACAGCGCCACCATGGAGGACTTTCAGTTTGACGGGGGCATGGACGGGCTCATACGGAGCGGTACCTACCCTCGAACGACGGGTGAAATGCAGAACGAGCGGGGCCCCGTCTCCGACTTGGTCATAAACACACAGTTCACGAACGGCAACTCTCCCTTCTCCAACATACCGGCCTACGCATCTCCAATGCATCCGAACGCAAACATGGACATGGAGATGACCAGCCCGTACCCCGATATGTCGTTGCCAATCGACGACTCGCTCATGATGGGCCGTAGCGACATGAACATGTTTCCCAACACCCAGTTCACGGCGCCCATGATGGATTCGCCCGTGACGCAGGACTTTTCTAGCCTCCCCACTGCACCAACACAGGATCCGAATCTGTCCATGCCGCCTCCCGACCAATACCGAAGCAATTCCTCTAGCGCTACGCCCGACGCTCGCTCAAAGGGGCCCACCCCAGCCAGCAGCCAGGACCAGAGCAGCATGCGCTCCGGTTCTCGTCCACAGAGCGAACACCAGACTTCTTCCAATAGCGTACCGAACCAGATGGCCGATGCGTCTATGAAGAACCAGGAGCCAATAGCACTTCCCACAGGTCAGGATCTCCCACCAGAAAGTTTCAACCATATAAAGTTCCCATGGGCGGTACCCACAGGGGGCTTCCCATCTACAAGGACCCAAAACCCCCATATGCAAACGCAGTTCAAGAACGCGTATTCGTCTACCGGATTCGACATGCTAGGCGTGCTGGTACGTTCTTGATACTAGCCGGGTATTGTACGTGTGACTGACCATGTTGACTAGATGCGGGTAGCAACGAGGGCCAATCCTCAAATCGACATTGGTTCCGTAGATCTATCGTGCGCTTTCGTGGTGTGCGATGCCGAAAAGGACGACCAGCCCATCGTGTACTGTTCTGAGAACTTTGAGCGACTCACCGGCTATAGCAAGCACATGATTCTAGGCCGGAACTGTAGATTTCTGCAATCCCCCGATGGCAAAGTGGAACCCGGAGTCAAGCGCAGATACGTCGACGATGACTCGGTCTACTACCTCAAGCAAATGACCCTCAGGCAGCATGAAGCACAGATTAGTCTGATCAACTATCGGAGAGGAGGCCAGCCTTTTATGAACCTGCTGACCATGATTCCCATTCCCTGGGACTCTGGCTCAAAAATCAAGTTCATCGTGGGCTTTCAAGTCGATCTCGTGGAACAGCCAGGGTCCATGACGAACAAGAATCCAGGTGAGACTGACTCAATCAAGATTTACGCGGTGATGCTGACAGTAGCTAGACGGATCGTACCGGATCAACTACCAGCGAGGCATATCTATGCCAAGCTACGTCTTTAGTGATCACAAACCGCAACCCGACCAGGGACAAACGATCTCCAAGGACGAGGTGTCAAATATTCTAGCTTCATATGGTTCCACCGGAGATTCCGAAATAACCCGACGCCTTTGGGACAAGATCCTGCTTGAAAACACCGACGATGTTGTCCACGTGCTATCACTCAAGGGCCTGTTTCTGTACCTGTCTCCATCAAGCAACCGAGTCCTGGAATACGACCCGAGCGAACTCGTAGGTACAGCACTGTCTTCGGTATGCCATCCCAGCGACATTGTCCCCGTTACAAGAGAGTTGAAAGAGACGAGCAACGGCGCTTCGGTCAACGTAGTGTTCAGGATAAGACGGAAAAAGAGTGGATATATGTGGTTTGAGGGCCATGGGTCCTTGCACACAGAACAAGGAAAGGGCCGCAAGTGCATTATCCTAGTTGGACGAGAGCGGCCCGTCTACACGCTCAGCAAGACCATCGTGCGCGCATCTGGCGGCATAGGTGACAACGAACTTTGGACGAAAATGTCGACGTCTGGAATGTTTCTCTTCGTCTCTGCCAACGTTCGCTCTCTGTTGGATAAGCAGCCGGAGGAGCTCGTTGGAAGTAGCATCCAAGCCTTGATGCGTCAGGAGTCAAAAATGCAATTTGGACGAATATTGGAGCTTTCAAGGACTGGGAGGAAGGGGGAGGTCAAACACGAGATGATCAACAGGCGAGGCCAGGTGCTGCAGGCGTTTACCACTTTATATCCCGGCGATGCTACAGAGGGCCAGAAACCCACTTTCTTAGTCGGCCAGACCCGTCTCTTGAAGTATTCGAGGAATAGTGCTGGGCAGCGACCAGCAATGTACACAAACAAGGAGCGTAATTCTGGGGACTCACACGCTTCTATACATTCCGGGGCATCCCCTCATCCTGGATCGCTCTCCGGTCAGACTGGCTCAAACACACCACAAACGGCCACAACAGATCCCCGCTTTGCGACAACCGAAGAATCAGCTACCACCTTTGCTGGTCAGAACGGACTGCAGATCGGACATCAGGACCATTCGCTCGCCTCGGAAGACAACGTCTTTGATGAGCTCAAAACTACGCGGAGCACGAGCTGGCAGTACGAACTTCGGCAAATGGAGAAGCGGAATAGGTACTTGGCAGAAGAAGTGCAGAGCCTGTTGGCTGCAAAGAAGAAGCGAAAGCGAAGAAAGGGCGCCGGGCAGATGCAGAAGGACTGCGCAAACTGCCATACTAGAGCCACGCCAGAGTGGAGAAGAGGGCCGTCCGGGAACAGAGATCTGTGCAATTCCTGTGGTCTACGTTGGGCGAAGCAGGTAAATATCTCTTTTCCACTCAGTTGATTGCATGATAGCTAATCTTTTGTTATAGCAAGGCCGCGTGTCACCGAGAACTTCTTCTGTGAGCGACAAGAGCAAGAAGTCTGTTTCGCCGAGACACACGCAAAACATCCTACCGCACGGCATGTCCGACTTGGGGCATCAAGCATCCATGTCTTCGACGCAGGTTCAACCGGATAAGAATAATGGCAATCATGATCCTCATGCTGCAAAGGTCGCTCGTATGGACACGACTGCATCTCAGAGCTATGGCGGCGGAACGACAAATATACCTCCGAAGATCGATGAGGGCGTAGAGCCTGATTGAGACGGGTTCTCGCGTCCCGGCTAGTCTCGGCTTCCACGCTTCATTCTTCCTTCGACCTCTGGAACTCTTTCGTCTGAATTTGACACGATACCCTCTGTGCTCCTTCCCTCTTGGATCTATGCTCATCTTCTTCACTCTTGACACTTCGCCGGACGATTGGATCTCTTTTCTATTTACTCTAGCTTCGAGCTGAACCTCCGCTGCTAAAGCTGTTGGGCACGACAGTAACACTGCTATCTACGGCATCTAAATCATAGGAAATGATCGGCTGGCACAATTTATCTTCCTAGTCCATTTATTGGCTAGATGTCTTTGCAAACTTTCACGAACATTATCTGGCTTCGATATTGGCGAAAAACAGGGGCGTCATTTACCTCCCGAATTTAGCCCTACGGCATAGAAGGCGTCGATTCCTTGTATATATCAAACGCGGCCTTTCAGCGATTTAGATGGAGAGGCGTGAGCGGGGATAGCCGGTAGTCTTTTCACGCGATCTAGCATCTTAGCACCCTATATCATACGCGCTTTATACATGTTCCTCGACAGGACAGCCTTGACGTTATCCTGAAGATGCAAGGGTCGGTTGCAGTTGCTGTGTGAGGCGGGATGTACGGCAGGGTTGTGGGAGAGTCTGAGTCGTGGAGTTGAGTGACGAGTGGGGATTGGGTGCATGGGGCGGTCTTGCATGGGTGATGGCGGCATTTGGGGGACGTGTGCTGCTGGGGCTTGACATGCCTGCGATTTTGAGGTTAGTTTGAGGTCTGCATTTGGTTGTGCGCAGGTGAAACACGAGCTTGACGCGCATGCATGCAGTGCGATTGACGGCACACAAGAAATGCGGCCCGAGAAAGTAGACTATTT